GATGCAAGCCTGTGGGAAACCTTTTTATATGTATTCCTGATAAATGGCTCTGCCATCCCAAATATTGCTTTGAGTAGTGAGGGGGGGAAAGGAGAGATGGAAGAGGCAGGGATCAGGAGAAAGGCAAGAAACAATAATAGAAATATTTTACATTCCTTCAAATGCATGAAACTGTGCCTATCGTTTCACAATTAAAAGTGGGATTCAGTTGCCTTTCCCCAGAGCATTTTGAAATGACAGGCAAAGTTTTGCAGTTTGGAGAAAGCTAAGACATTTCTAAAATATATCATATAGCAAAGGCAGCCTTCACTGATTTTTTTTACCAAGATAATTTACTGTGGCAGCTAATTTCTTATTAAAAAGCAAACACATCACTTCTAATTTTCTTGAGTGCATGCTTCTGACATAAATGAAAATCGGTTTTCAACTATATGTGTCAAAGTTCTAATTTTTCAGGAAAATGCAACAGTTACAAATAATATAATTGAAAACAAATGCAAACAAAGCACAATTCACAAACAAGCAGGGGAAAAAAAAATCCCTGCCTTATGAAAACAGGTTATTACCTTAGCCACAAGTAAATTTTCTGTCAATCATTTCTCTCAAACACACACAGCCCTGCTATCTGACCAACTACTGCTTTTTACACTGGCATGTACGTATTTAATGCTTCAGGTTTTCTACTGCTTGTTCCCTCAGTCACACCTAATGGCCATGAATGTGGTCTCCTCTGCTCACCAGTGCGTGCGACCGAGCCAGACCTTGGGCTCTCACTTGTGCTCTACATGGGTCCCCAACCCTTCAAGCAGTTTGAGGTGATGCACCTTCAGCTTCTGCTAGGGCCAGGGCAGGCAGCTCCAGAAGCCAATCCTGGGTATATCAGTAGTTGTTAACTCTGGGGTCAGACTTGTGCTTAAGCCTGAATATCAAATTGTCCATACTGCCTACATGAATCTTCAAGCTCTGGCTGATGTCCCAAGCAAGTTAGTAGGCTGACAACTAGAAGAACGCAGAAACAAGGGAGGAACTAGCCCTTTCCTTCAGACAGTGTAGAAACCAGAACTTTGAGGCACAGTTCAGCAAATTAAGGTCCAACTTTTGGTGTGACTGAATAGAGGTAGCCAAGGAGACTTAGACTGAAAAAGAAATTCAAGGTGACTAGCACATCTGAAAATCAGGGTCTTTGTTATCATGTTTGGCTAACCAGTCACCTCCAAATTTAATATAACCTCATTGTGAAAACTGACCCACGCTTTAAAATTTTCGGTCTTGTCTGTGGGAATTTTGAATTGCCAAGTAGAGCAAAGTTATATCTCAAGTTACCTTTGCCTCATTAAGGCCTGAGCTTCTATATTCCAGGGACGGAAAGTGCAGAAGACAAATCCACCCACAAAGACACAAAACCATCATATGCAAATCTCCTTTCTTGTGACTACACATAAAGACAGTAACATTGAGAAGTTGTCAAGATGTTTGTGTCATTACAACTTGTAAAAAGTGAAATATTCCTCATTCCTCAACTAATATTCCTAAATACCTTACTATTTCAATGAGGTTATTTAAAGGGCAGACACATAAATGCTATATAAACACCTCTCTTATGACAATGATGACTTATTTTATATGCAAATATGCATCTATTTCTCACTGATCCTATATCATTGCATAAACAATACAGAAAAATTACAGCTTAGTATTTAGCAAAAAGCCTAGCATTTAAACTGGGATCATCTCTCTGTCATGAAAGACATAGGCATCTTAAACTGTGATATTTTCAGGAAAAGTGCACAGTTAATTGCTCCCAGTACTCTGTTATGTCTTGGGTATAAAGCTAAGAGCTGTCATACTGAAACTTGCAGGAGCTCTCGCTTGAAACTGCAGAAAAAAATATTACTGCTATGAGCTAGATCCTTAGGGTTATACCAGCTGTGCTTCTGGCCCAGAGCATGAGTCTTTTCTCATTTAATCCCCAGCGAATATTCATTTAAATTATGTAGGTTGGTCTCAGTTTTGTTTTGGGAAATGGTCAAATCGTGGTGAAACAAGTTTTCTTCAGTAGCTGAATCCTGCAGGGCCCTATCGCCTGTGACAAACTTTTCTCCTATAAGTAACTTCAAAAGCTTTTAACTTCAACAGACCTTTCATAGAGAAAGCAGAGAAGAATACCTCCTGAAGATATAGCTAATTGAGTGTTCATCCATTTATCTTCTGTGAAGATGGTATTACTAGTCCTTTCTGAATATCTCTGCTTGTGGTCATTTAGGTATATGTATTTACTGCAAGCTGAGTTGCATTCTTTTTGGACTCCTGTTGACTCAAACAGAGGCCGTAGATTGAGTTGAAGTATTGTTCATGCAGAGTGAGGTCAACTGGAGTATTTCCAGTGACTTGGATGGGATTTTATGGGCCCTAGCCAAGGATAAGAGTTTATACTGTTTGGAGACAGAAAAAACTGAATGAGATCATCTGGTCCAATCTCTAGTTAATCAAAGGATATGCAAGTTTTATCCAGATATGCCTGTACTGAAATAGCACTTGTTTCCTTGGGAAATTAGGAAGGGTGTACTATGGAGAGGAGAATTGGAGGTCTCTTCCTCATGGTGTGACACCCCGGCTGCTGGGACCTGCTCAGGCGAGATGTTCCCCAGTGACCCCAGCTCCATTGCCAGCCACCGCGACGAGCCAAGTGCACAGCATGGTACCCACTTCCTTCCCAAATCCGGAAGGAAGCTGAGGATTGTTGGACCACTGAAGAAAATTTAATCAATGCTGTTTCCCATCAAACTCATGAAAAAAGGTGGTAAGAAGAAGCCAGGCTGACATACTTTAGGGCCAGAAAAGACTGCAAATACGTCAGCCTAATCCTCTCATGATGTGTGCATGTATAATACAATATCAAAAAGAAATACAGTTGTACAAGGTTAAATCAAAAATATGTCTAGCCAAATACTACTTCCAAAAGTAGCAGATGCTTACAAGAACTACAAAAAGCAGGTCAATATAAAAACATCTGTCTCAAAATCAGTGGTTTAGGAATCTCTTGAGCTGGAGGTTGGACCTGGACCACTATACTGCAGTAAACTGGTGGAGGTGTCTCTACTCCAGTAACTGCATAAGGTTTTTTTAAGCTATTGAGTTTACTCCTAGGATGTGGATTAAGCCCCTTTTAATATATTTAATTTCATTATAAGAACTCTATGTGATGGTAAATCCACTTCCTTGTCATAAGCTGTCTCAATATTTTCCTCACAGCTATGAGGAAATGTCTTATTTCAAGGCTGTATTTTTCCAGCTCTAACTTCCTGGTGCTAGATCTTATCATGCCTTGAAACAGAGGATGGAAAACAGATTTTTCTCTTTCCTTTCCCCTGTTGTACTATGTCAATTTTTAAGTAATAGCCACTCAGATTTTTAAAATCCTGATTCAGAGGACAATTTAATCGCATGATTTACTTTAACTACGTAAGTAATCCCATTGACTTCAATGGGACTACTCTCAGGTTAAAAGTTAAATGTGCGGTTAAGTGCTTTGCTTGAATAGTATTTAAGTTCTTTTTAATTTCTCATTTATTCTCATTCCTTACTCATGATACTTGATCTATACAGTGTGTTGGAAGCGCAGCATTTCGAGTAAATAGTTCAGCATGGGATCATGCAGGTTACAACACAGCAATTTTCATTGCAGCTTTTGTCTAGCACTGAAGGAATTCTGACTGATGGATACCAAGGGCTTTTTTGATGTTATTTTCTCTGAGGAACTAATGCTCTTCATTCCTGCTAATTCCCTCTGCTGCCTAGTTTATTTGTTCAGCAGTGCCCTAAACAAGAAAGGTTTCCTTCAAACAATAGGCTGCTTTGCACTCTGCGTGTGTGTGGTTTACTGAATCCAGACCTAGGGAAAATGTACTCGTCTTCAGCTGGTATGAATCAGAGATGTTTGCAGACATAAGGGAGCTACGCTTATTTACACCAGCTAAGGATCTGACCTGTTGCCTGCTGTGTTAATATATAAATGTGTGTATGTGTGCAGTTAAACATATAAGACCTGGGCAGAGGAATAGGCCTTCAATAATCTGCTCTTGGGATATCTGATATAATATTAGAGGCACAAGAGTAAAAGGCTGAAATGAAAGCTTATTTCTTCCTGAGGTCAGGTATGAAAAGACATAATATGGTGTTGTCTTCCAGTACCAATAGCAAAATACTTTTGAATAATGTTTGCCAGGTAATTACATCTGTACTATGGACCTTCAAAAGCTTTCGAGCACTGAAGGTCTTTCAAATGAATTTGCATTATTTCATAATTTTTGGTATTAGTCACTGACCATTCCTGCATCCTACATATATGTGATCAGGGGCTCTAGCTCCTTTTGCAAGCAGTGTGAAGTGGCCATTTCAGATCAGCCAAGCTAGGAAGTGAAGTATTGCCTAACTCATGGTTTCAATTATTTTCTGAAGGCTTCTATACCTGTCTGTTGACCAGATGCAGAGCCAAACCCTTTCTGTAAGGTGCTCAGAATATACAGTGAGACTACTCTTTAACATACAGTACTACCACAGTACTCCATATTTTTGTCAATATTGCAGAGTAAAACCTTTTTTCATTAAATTGACCATTTGTAATTTGCATATACAAATTATATTGTACATAACAGAGATCCAGTTCTTAAAGAACTAAATAAAATTCAACTTGAATGAGCGAATGGTTGTTTTTCTGAACATTTTTATATAAATTTTATAAAAATCTCAATGTAGAGGTGCAAAATAGCCTTGATTTGCACAGGGGGCAGTTTAGTTTTCCACAGCTCAGGAAAGACAGGGCTCCACTGCAATGAGACTCTCTAAGAGGAAAAAGGTCATCATTCCAGTAATTTCTAGAATAACATTTTGATACAATTGCTGAGTCAGACAGGCACAGACATAGAAAAACCCTGTACCACTGAAAAACAGTGAAGCATCTTGCTTTAGCATTTTTATGAGAAAACAAATACCTTCCAGATAAATGCATAAATAAGAGCCTACATCAAATATCCTTCCAGAAGGTAGAAGTTCATGGACTTCCTGGTTTGGAGACAGCATTTTTCCCATTCTGGTAAATAACCACAATGATCTTATCTTCCAGGATTTTTTTCACATCCTTTATCTGTAGGAAGAAAATAAAAACATCAGCATCAAAAATCCCTACAAGTCAGTAGGAAGTGTGATACTGTTCTAGACACTAATTATAATGTAGCTAACCCAAAACCTGAGTGAAAATCTAGCATGACTTTGACATGTTAGAGTCTAATCCTAAATAAATTATTGTGCTATGTTGGAATTTGCCTTCATCTTTTATGAGTTTAACACTTTGATTCAAATTTTCAGAAAGATGATGATTTAGATGTGGTAGCTGCCATCTCAGCTGACTACAGATTGTGCTAGGAAATGGTAGACAGGATTTTGTACAGCTTGAAATAATTTCTAACTTGGTTGTGCTTTAAGTGTGAATGTTCAGAACCCATCAACTTCCGTGCATGATAGACATTGCGCAGATCCATATTTAGCAGACTATTTGTGTATCCCATTTTGGCTTGTATCATACATACCATAGAATCACAGAATCACAGAATGGTTTGGGTTGGAAGGGACCTTCAGAGATCATCCATTTCAACCCCCTGCCACAAGCAGGGTCATCTTCCACTAGATCAGATTGCTCAAAGCCCTCTCCAACCTGTCTTTGAACACTTCCAATAATGAGGCATCCATAGCTTCTTTGGGCAACCTTTTCCATTGTCTCACCACCCTCACTGTAAAAAAAATTCTTCCCTATATCCAGTCTAAATCTACCCTCTTTCAATTTAAAACTGTTACCCCTTGTCCTATCACTACAGGCCCTGGTAAAAAGTCTCTCTCCATCTTCCTTAAAGCCCCATTTAAGTATTGAAAGGCCACAATAAGGTCTCCCCAGAGCCTTCTCTTCTCCAGGCAAACAACTCCAACTCTCTCAGCCTTTCCTCACAGGAGAGGTGTTCCAGCCCTCTGACCACTTTTGTGGCCCTTCTCTGGACCTGCTCTAACACATCCATGTCTTTTTTGTACTGAGGTTTCCAAAGCTGGATAAATATGGAAATCACAGAACTGTTGTGGTTGGCAGGGACCTCTTGAGATCATCTAGTCAAACCCCTCTGCTCAAGCAGGTCCACCTAGAGCTGGTTTCCTGGGACAGTGTCCAGTGAGGTTTTGAATACCTCCATAGATGGAGACTCCACAAATTCTCTGGGCAACCTGTTGCAATGTCTGACCATCCTCACAGTAAAAAAGTTTTTTCTTGAGTTCAGATGGAATCTCATGTGTTTTGTACCCACTGCCTCTTGTCCTCTCATTGGGCACCACTGAAAAGAGCCTGGCTCTCATCTTCATTCTTTCCCATCAGGTGTATATACACTTTGATAAGATTTCCCTGAACCTTCTTGTCTCCAGTCTGGAGTCTCAGCTCTTTTGGCTTTTCCTCATATGAAAGATGCTCCAGTCCTTTAATTATCTTTATAGCCTTGCGCTGGAGTCACTCCATTGTGTTTGTGACCCTTTTACTGGGGAGTCCAGAACCGGACTCAGCACTTGAGGTGTGGCCTCACCAGTACTGAGTAGGAAGGAAGGATCACCTGCCTTGACCTGATGGCAATCCTCTTCTTGTTGCAGCTCAGGATGCTTCTGGCAAACACAATCAAGCCGGGTCTTGCTGAAAACTGCATATCATCTCAATGCAATTAATTTGTCACAGTTTTAGAGATCTACATTTAGGTTAGACTGCTGTGTTCACTTTATAGTCAGGGGAGAAAAACAAGGTCTTCCAAAGTGCAGCTCATCTAACTCTGAGGTCAAGGTCTACAGTAGGTCAGTTAAATTGTAGCTTAGCCTAGTGCTCTTCTTCGGCTACAAAGAAAGCCTAGATTACTCACTAGAGTACACTCAAATCTAGACTGGTAAGTCCCACAATTCTTTTCTTAGTGCTTAGTATTTCACAGTGCCTGAATGTATTAAGCCACTTGAAGTGTGGGCAAATCCACCAGCCTTTGCCAGAATGGTTTCGTACCAGAGCAGAAGAAAGCAGGAGGAACAGAAACAGATTTCAAGGTTCCCCTGTTCTGCCACATGTGCATCTTCATGGGCTTCCTACCTTATAGTTGTTTGCAATAACTAATTAGCTGTTGGTAGAGAACATGGAAGTCTATTTTACTTCATATGCTTCCAGTTGGAGAGATTGTTCTCATCAGTGTCTCCCCTGACATCTTGGTACTTTGTGGTCTTTCCCATCTCACCTTCATTTCACTTTCTACCTTCTTTATCTCATTTCTAATTCTCATTTGCTCTGAACTCAGTTTTTTTTGTTGTTGTTGTTCTCTTCCCATTTGTCACATCTCCGTAACTAATGCTGTTGTTTTTTCACAGTGCTTTAAACACTTTGAGTACTGAGGCAGATGCACAGGGCAGTGTACTAGTTATATAAAAGGACAGCTGTAAAAACATGTGTGACGGCAATTAAGCAAGAACTCTTAGAAGCATGAAGTCATTTATTCTAATTGCACTAAGGCTCTTCTTAGACATTGTCCCTAATATTTGAAATGGAGAAAAAGTCAGCTTCAGGCACCATTCCATCTTTACTTCCTCCGCTTCCATGCTACTGCAAGCAAGGGGACTGCATGTGTCCCATTATCAGCTACACTGAGGAAGCTTTACCTTCAGACATCTGTCTTTGGGCTTGCTGTCCTGAAGGAACTGGAGCAGGTTCCATTTTAAATGCAGCAGAAGCAAGAGGACAAGTTACCAGCCAGAGAATTATTACCCACTAAAGCAATTTCCAGTTTCTTCATCAAATATTATCAAGGCCCTATCCTGAATGCCTTCGATTACTTTTCAAGAAAGCAGCAGATTAGGGCAGTTAGCAGCATCTTCAAAAGTTGTTCAGTGCCTCCCAAACTGATAATTCAGTCATCTTAATTTCATTAAACTCCAGAGTTGTTTCCAATAAGCAGCTACTCTTTTAACTAGCTGATATAGAGCTGAATGACGAAGATATGCTTAAGCAAACCAGATGAATACACACAAGGAACCCTGTTCCTTTCAGTTGCAGGCTGAAAGCTGATATATTACATGTCTGCATGCAATAAAACTTTTTTGTTTTAATGTTCCTAGGGAAGCTTGAAACTAAATCCTTGCAAAACATCTGGTTCAAAACTTCAGCATTTTAATATTAAATGCTTCCTGAAATCTGTTTGTGTAACTGTACCATGCAGGTTTGCTTCGTAGCTTTATAATAAATTGTTTCTAACTCATTTTGTTATCCTTGCACTGACTTTGATATCTCCTGCTGAAAACATAACATCAGTAACAGTGCTACTCCAAGTTCAATAGTTAGCTGATATCCCAAGCACAAATTCTGAAGACAACCGTATAATTTTTAGGTTTCGGCTTCGTATTGTCTTACATTCAACTCTAAGGTTTTAATTCTCTGTTCCTTAAAATTAATTAAATTGCTTTAGATTATAGATTTGTCTTACCAAATACAGTGTTCAGTATCACAACAGATTCTGCAGTGTCTCTGCATAAGACATGAAGAAGCTTTGCATCCCCCTGTGAACAACAGTTGTCATGTTACTGCTGGGACTAGTATTTAGAACTTTTTGTCAAAGCCTGGGAAAAAAAAATTCAGCAGTGAAGTGGAAGATTTTTTCCATACCTAATAGTCATCATGAGCATCCACGGATAGAAAAGCAAAAGGAAATCAGAAAAGGCTCATATATTTTAAAGCATGCTAAGCCTTGTGAAGATGGTCTTGCTGACCTCAAAAGCTGTAGCTTAATAGTTCCAAATAAAGCCACGTCAGATCTTAGCATGGTGCTCTAAGTTATGCAGACTGATTTCATGCCTTCAGCTGGTTTCATGTTTGTGCTGAGCACAGTGCCAAGTCCTGACCTGGCATTGCCTGACCCTCCTCCAGACAGTATAATTGTGTCAACCTGACTCTGAGCTGCAGGGCTCATGAACTTTGGGATCCTGTCATGCTAACACAGCTGTGCTACTTTTGGGGCCTAAACTGGTATTTTTGCAAGATGTGTAACTTAGAGTAACTCTGGCTATCCAATGCAGGGTAGCCTCGGATCCTTAGTTGGAGACCTTCTAGCATGACTGAGAGCATCTCAGGAGCTTGCTTCTCTCTCCAGGCTAAAGAGGGAGCCTTGGTTCCCAACTTCAGCTACTCAAGTAGAGCTCAAAGACAGACTGAATACAAACTGAAGGAGGGCTCCAAGAACCTTTCAAATACAGGAGAAAGCAGAAACCACTCAGGGGTTCCTGAAGTACTAGAAAGGATTAAAAACAAAACAACAAAACAACTTCACACAATAAAAGTTCAATTCTATAGCCTTAAATCCTATACTGTTAGCAAAGCTTTGTGTGTGCTTTAGATTAGCCATGTAATTATACCATAAACCCCCACTAGGATTTAATTTCAATTGAAAGCAGTGGAACTAATGATGTGCTTACAAATAAAGCTAATTAAGATTTTTTTTAGAACTGGGGACTATTTCATAAAAGTATCAAAAGATTTAATGTCAATATGTAGCACTTTGTATGACTCACAGAGCCTATAAATCCATACAGGTATTTTCAGCCTGATCATTATACAACTGGCCTAGCTCAGAAAGAAATGTGAAAATACATAGTAGGAAACAGTTCTTCCAAACAGCAAATAATTGTGTAAATATATAACTGGAACAAAATCCTATGGCTGATGTATAACACAGGAAATTCCATTTCAACATATTTCTTGATGCTTAATCCTGCCAGGTGGAATGGATCAACCAAAAGGGAGAAGTCACAGTACATTGTGAAAAAAAGTTACACATTTGTGGAGGTCATCCAATAGGACAGAAGGAAGCTCCACAAAACAGCTACAGCTCTCATTGCTCAAGTTCAGCTAGGTTCAAGCTCAATGTCTATCTGTATCAGTTCAATTGTTTATACTTCAATTAATCAATATCTTGCAAAAAGTCTGTTTTTACTGAAATCCTTTTTCAAGCTATTTCCTTATTTTTTTTTCCAATACATATATATTAATTTCAATTAAAATATAGCAGTAATGGAATAACAGTTGGGGTGGGGAGAAAGACACTTTCTACAACTTGCTGACAAGAGCTTCTTCAGACTGTCTCCAGTATGATTCAACATTACAAGAGTATTTCAGAATTTGCAACAGCATCAGTGAGCACTGAATCATCTGCTTGCATTAAACTGAAAAAATGAAAATGTGAGAACAATGTCATGACATGGCATACTATAACTGAGCAAAGCACTAAAATTCAGAGGAAAATAAAATACTAAGGGGAAACTGTTGAACATGGCAGCTGAGATAAAAATTGGAGATCTTCATAATAGGTCAGTGCAAATCAGATTTGGAATGTTAAAAGAGAGCAGATATTTGATATGAACTCTGAAGCTATAATTGGTGAGATTTTTGTTTCTTAAATTCAAAACGGAAATGATAGAGGAAAAGATTTCCAGAGTGAGCACGACTAATAACTACCTTTCAGGAACAAAGTGTTGGGTTCTTAAGTGCAATTCAAAGGTTAAGTTTAAGCCCAAGATTAACTTTAACAGGCATACTAGCACTAGACAATTTTGTCCTCAGGTTCCTTAGACCTCCCCTTTCAGACATTAGATATATATGAAATAGCATAAGAGCAAAGAATTAGGATTTGGTGCTTTTGTAAAAAGAAATACATACATATATAGTAATGCCTATTTCCATATGGTTACATAGTGGTTATAATAAAGTGTGAGGAATAACACCTAAGACAATGCAACATACTTTGCTATGTTCAAACTCAACTGAATTGAGGAAAGGAGCCTGACACCCAGCAGGACTCCGTATCTCAGCTTTAGCTTTGGTACAGATTTCCCTTAAGGACTCGCTTTGCAAGGTGCAAGAGTGTGTTTGACCAGAGACCTCCACAGAGACCTTCAGAAGACGGACAATTCTGAAAATAAGCAGTGTGATCTGTGCCAGAGGCAGCCTCCAGCCTCTCCACCCTCTGGCAAGAGAGCTGTTCTCCTTCCCTGCAGGGCTGAGGTCACCCGCTTTCTTGCAAATTCCTGTGAATTATGGGTGACATGTTGAAACTGCCCTTTTTGCTATGGATTGAGTAAACCTTTCTCTGTACTGAGTCAGGCCCAGAAAGGTCAGCAGTAGCTTTTCCTAGTAAATGAATATTAGCAAAGATAAATGGCAAAAATGAGGGGGCAAACCCTTGCAGTGAAAGGTTGAAGTCTTTGTTAGGATTCATTACACATGTGGGCTAATAACATGCATTTCACAAGTGTTTGTAATAGACTGTCTTCCTTTGTGCAAATGAATTTTCCATTTACTCTCTATCCTGAGCCAAGCAAGAGGCCCAGAGAGAGAGACTGCCCCTTTTACTTCAGCTCATGTCCCAGAGGTGCTTAATAAACAGTCTGGCCAGGGGATTGCAAAGTCTGCAAGGGTGCCTCCTTGGTATTGCCTCAGAAGAGAACCTTGAAAGGTTTTGTGTAATGATGAGTCTTGGTCAAGGAGTTAGCATTATTTCAGTGAGCCAGCAATTCATATACATTAAAACAAAATGCATATTCCCCTCCCATCTATCATTTTCAGAAAATAAGAGTGGAGCTATCTTAAATTTTAATGCAAATTGAGGACTTGCAGTTCCCATTAGACCTAACAGGTTCTCCACTCTTCCTGATGATGTGTTTAAAAATAAAACCCTCAAATCTCTTGCCTAAGCATCATTAACCATGCTGGATCTTAACCATCAATCATCAATTGGCTTTTATCGACTATGAGGTAAACAAAAACGAATGGGATGTTTTAAAACTGCTGTTACAGACCATGAGCTACAGACATCTACTTTCCCATCTCCTCTTTGACTTCAAGGGAGTATTACTGCTGAACATCACAAGGTGGGATACGATTTGCTAACAACACTTGTCCATAGTTTATATCAAGCATCTGTTAGTATTTAAATATCCCATTACAGAGTATACAAAACTTCATGCTGGTCAGATCCCAGACATATTCTGTACACATGGATTAACTGAAGAAAATCATTAAGAGAGAAACCCCCCAAAACATTACCAAGTGTAGTGATGTACAAAATGCCAAAATTTGCTTATGTCATTTCAGACTACTCATATACCAGCCTGCATCTGGATTCCTGATTTTTTTTTTTGATTTCTGTATCTTCAGAGGGTATACAAAGAAGGCCATTACATAACCCAGTGTTTTTTATAGCAAACTAAAACTATGCTGAAGAGATTAAATGTTGGAAGCTATTTTTAGACAAACTAATTGTAACAGTTTCACTAAGAATATAAGCTGCAGATGTCTCTTAAGGTAAAAAGCAAGATGATGGAAGAGCTACTAAGACAAAAGGCTATCAACTACAGAAAAATAGCAGATCGAAATTACATTTAATTATGCAATTCTGCCCAACACTCCCCCTAGTGGTTTTGCCCACAGAGATGAGCATCAAATCCCATACAGCAAAATACTCCAGTCTAATGACAAAACGTCCCATTAATAGGATTAAGTACCTTCTCATCAGATAAGTAGAACATGGCAAAATCCCTGACAGTCCCAGCAATTAGATCAGAACACAGCCTGTCCCCTTCCTGACGCGGGGAGCAATTTTGCAGAGGAGATGTTTCAGTATTAATGGTAAATATGTTGGGTTTTTTTACTTTTCTTTCGTAATGAGTTTGTATTTCTTTGCAAAATTAATTGGTCTTTTGCTATAAATGTAAAGGTACAATACGCATGTAACTATAAGTAAATCCAGGCTATAAATAAATCCAGGCTCTTAATTTACATATGCAGTTGCAGCTGATAACTGCGTCTCCAAGAAGGCTATACTGGCTAACAAGAAGGTACTTGAATAGTGTGTTCACTTAATCAGATGAAAACTATAAAGTGTAGTTGCATGGTTTCTAAAAAATAAACCTTTCTCTTCTAACTGCTTTTGGGAAGGAAATAAAGTAAATGGCTTTTATTTCCCTTATTTTGTAGGAACTTCTTTCAATTCCTGATGTGTTTGTTTACAAAACTGATCTAAGTGCCAATTTCTTGGCACATCTACTATTGTGTCTGCTATATTACATATTATCCTGAAGGACAATTAAAGAAATTGCATGTTTGGAGATAAGGAAGTGAACAGCATTCCAGAAATTTCCCTTTTTTAAATCTGGCAATAATGTTTAGCATGGATGCATTTGTAATATGAACTAAGAACATAGTGTGAGATCAGTAGTTAGTGTTTCACAAGGCAGAAAAGGGACAGACTGAACTGCATAAGCTTTCGGTTTTATATATATATATATATACATATATATATATGTCCTGATTCTGTTACACCACTGTGCAAACTCAGTGGAATTCATCTAGTTAGTCTGAATAGATAATGAGTTCAAGCTTCTTACTCATCCGTTTTTACTAACAGTAGCATTTATGTGCATATTATACATCTCAGAAACCATAGTTAAAGTCAAAATTAATGATAACTTGTATAATACTTACTAAACATTACACACAGGCATTTGAGCGCCATGAAGATGCTTACATTTAACTGCACTGACCTGCTTCTTTAACAGAAAGAACATGAAGTCCTCTTGGTTGTTTATAATATACGTGCTATGGCTGAAGGGTCATCAGTGTGCACCGACAAGGCAGGAGGACTTGAATCTCTGGGAAAACCTGAAGCGTATGTATGCTTTCCTTCCCAGGGGTGTGCTGGATGCTCCTGGGTCCAGGTCTGCAGTCTCCTGGTGCATTTTGACCTCCACACTCACTGGCGTCAAGAGGATCCACTTTCATGCGTGGAGCTTAGAAACCATTATATAGCTGACTACATGCATACACACACACACAATGGGGAGATAAGAACAAATAGGATGAGAAAGTAAAAGGATTAACAGACAAGCATCTCCTTATAAAAAAGTATTTACATCATTTTTATAGGTTATTTGGCCCCTCATAAATCATTAGAATATAAACTGAACCCAAAATTCAATTTAACAGATTTTGGATTATTTTGTTTGTTTGTTTAAATCATCTTTGAAAATGTTTATTCTACAATTACATATTTTGCTGAAAAAGATGGTTATTACAAATAATTGAAATAAAATGACTTAATTTAGAATAAAAGCAGCAATTTTGCATATACTCACCTTTAAACATGGCTTATTTTGTGGATAGGAAACCCAAGAGGATCTGACATGAAATATTCCTTTGCTTCCATCTCCTTTAATAATATTTCTGTAACAAACAAAAAGTTAGGGGAGGATAAAAAAGATATAAAGGAAGAAACTACTGATGTGTGCTTTTGGCAGCCCCAGGTTGATGTGGTTTTTATTTGTTTTGTATAGCTCCAATAATATTCCAGGTGTTTCTCCAAAGGGAACAAAGGATAGGCAATCATGCAGACCTTCAAGGTGCAACATGTGGGCCAACCCAGGCTTTCACCAAAACTCCATGGTCATTGCTTCACAGGAAGTCTAGAGATTTTATTTTTATGAAAGGAGGTTGAAGGCACCTGTAATCTAATTTTTCAAAATGTAAAGGGAAGATGTCACAGGCTGTTTTCAGATCAAAGATAAATATATAGGTTATGTCATTAGAAAACTCCTGAGTAATCCCTGGAGATTTTCAAAAGCCAGGATGAGGTCCTGAGCAACCTTCTCTTGTTAACCCTGCTTTGAGCATGGGGTATGGACTCAATGATCTCCAGAGGTGCCTTCCAGCCTCAATTGTTCAGGGATTCAGTGATCAGCGGTGGGACAGCCAAGTATACAGCTTGAGCTACATGCAGCTGATCACTGGCAAAGGTTCTGGGACAGATTCTTATCTGATGAAAATTATCTTGACTCTGTATTATTCAGCATTCACTATCCCAAGATTTGGCTCTGCAACTGTAGGGAAACATAGGGCTGTTTCATTCTCCTTCATCATCAGTGCATGACAATTAGGGATGGTGTTAAAATCTGATTAAGTCACTGTATAATTCGGCTTTTTTTAGAATTATCTGAAGTTGGAGAGAAGTATGTAGATGAAGAGGTAAAGAAAGCCTTGACTGGTATTAAGCAGATGAAAATTATGATGGAAAGAAATGAAGATAAGCATGTAGATCTGATGAAAACTTTGAAGAAGAGCAGTGAAGAAAAACAGGTAACTGAAGTGCATCTGGGGTTTTTTGTTTGTATTTTTCTTAAGTTGTGGCTATTTTATATCAATGATAAGGCAGGTTGTGCATGGATTTAGCCAACCTCTAGAAGTAGTTTAGGCCATAAGCAACCCAGAAGGATCCCTTGCTGTCTCCCCTTTTCTGGGAAGAATGCAAACCACATTGTATGTACACTCTGAGCAGTATACATCTCTTTATGTGGTCACAGGACTGGTAGGAAATCTGCTTCTGCCCCTTTCTCTCACTAGCAGAAGAAAACTCTCATGGCACCTTTACAGAGGTTCTCACTGCCTGTCTCCTGGAAGCTGGAGTTAGGCCAAAAGACATCCTTTACTAGACTTTCAAGAAGCCAGATGTTTACATTTCAGCAGTTAAAACACTAGTTGATATTTGACAATTTCTTAAGAAAGAGCTTGCCTGCTGGCAGGACCCTGGCACACTGAGGCTTCATCCCTGAGGGCAGCTTTCAGACTGCGCTGGAATAAAGCACTGAACAAGAGCACTGCCTGCCTCACTGGTGCCTCCTCCAGATTGTATGGTTCTTTTGAAAGCTGGAGGTGAAGAGTTTCCATATTCCCTCAGAAATACAGCTTTCTGTGTGGCATATTGTTAATTTTTCCCTGTGGCTGAATGTCTAAGCTATTTCGAAAATGAAACTAAAAGTGAGCACTACACAAAATACCGCTGAGTTACTAGCTAGCAAGTTACCTTCTCTCAGCCCATCCCAGCTGCAAGATAAAACATGTTATCTGACACAACCTGCCTTGAGATTTGAGCTCTCTCATTTATTTCTACAGTTGGGAGGTAACCAGCAGAAGCCCAGGCATAGTCAGGCTGATGGTGACCACCATGTGGAGATACAGAAGTTCTGCAGTAAAAGGAGACATTAAATGTTGTATGTGGGCTCAAACATTACTTTGAAGAGGGAACCTCCGTTTTGTAACATCCAGAAGCCAAAGCTGCTGCAACAGCAATGTGTTGAATAAAGTAGAGCACTTACTGTTTCTTGGTAGAAATCCCCTGCTTCACTGAATTCATACCAAGGCAACTGGAAGCAACTCTGTAAAGGTGTTTTGTGAGGAAAGTCCAGCAATTCTGTCCTGCATGTCTTTATACATCTCAGGCCACAAGATGTTTCCCAGCTTGTTTTGCAAACTTCAGACTTTCAGAAAAACATCAGAGCCACAAATAGTAATGTGCTCTGGAGAAAGTGCAGGGGATCAGGGGAATTTCCAATGTCCCAGTGCAATGCCTAGGCTCAGAGCCCTGTGCTCAAATGAGCCTGAGAAATAGAGATTACTGTGTATTTTTAAAAATACAAAGATCCTAACTATTGCTTTCAATGAAGTTGAAGGAAAAATCCCTCTTGGCCCAACATCTGGTAGTTAGTTTCAACTATTTGTATTAGCAAGCCAAAAACTACCTGATAGCTTTCTAGCATCTTTAGTAACACTGGTATGGTCCCATGATCTATGCTGTTGTTAGCTCTTACTGGATGATTTAATATGCACAGAACTTACATCTACAGTGAGAGTTCATAAAACACTGAATAAATGTATTAGATCAGAAAATAATTAAACAGAGACTATGAAGTTACTGTCTCCACCAAGCACATTCTGGCAGAAGTTTTCTGTGGGCCTCTTTGCTATAGCAATGCTGCCAGAAAGGAATAAGACCGACCAATTAAAAGGTTTCTGTCATACTTAGGAACAACTTAGAACATTGTTTGGAAACCTAAACTATTAAAATACCTTGTATTTGCAGAAACAAATTCATGACGTGCAATCTACTTTAGTAGGAAGAACTCTTCCATCTTTCCATTGCCACGTCTATTCTAAAATGCTGCTTCTGATCTGCTCAGCTTTGTTCTCTACCTGATGGAGAATGATCTAGTACATGGAAGCAGCATTGTAAAATGCATCTTGTTTCCCTTCAGTATGGAAGGAGTGCCTCACACTTCCATGAGAGCAGGAAGAAACTTCCTTACTACAGTCTTTTGAACAGTATAATCCCAGAGGAAATGCTATACTTTTACGTATTTCTGCATTAGAGAAAGAACCTATATATGTCAAGGACCTAGCCTCATGAAATATCAGTCCCTTAAAGAATAGAGCGAAGCAACAAAAAAGGGCTATTTGTAGAACTGCATGAATGAATACTGCAGATATGATATGGAGAAAAAATTATACAAGTTGAGCACATGACTTTGTGAGAGGTTGAAGCCTGCACAGAAAGACATGTGATTTTTTTCACATCTTCAAAGATCCAGGTAGACTGTAGAGATCCATTTGGTTTTGGAAGCTGTGCCCTCTGAAATAACGATGTTAGAAAAATCCTATATGGAAAAGCTTTTCAATTTTCAGTTCCCTCCATATGTGACTGCAGCTGAGAAGACAATCTACCCTAACAATTAGGGATTAGCAAAAAAAGGAATCATAAATAGCCAAAATGAGTCATCAACACTGGGAGAAGTATTT